AAAATTACAGATTCCCCCCAAAGAATTATAAGCTCAAAATAAAGATTTACATTTTTTAAATTCAATCCATCACATTTTCAGAAATTGAGATTGAGAAGAGAATTGAGATTGAGAAGAGAATCAAGGTGAGGGGAATCGCCGAAACTTCCAAGGATTTAGAGACATTGGAACAAAAATGAATAAATTTTAGTGTTTTACAACAGGTTTCTTCCCTTTTAATTCTCTCTTCCTTTCTTGTCCACATAATCATCGATTTACAACACCATTGAAGAAAAAACTTCAAGATAATATAAAAAAAATCCATCTTTTTTCTCTTCTTTTTATATCTTATATTTGTCTTTCTCATTCTTTAATTGTACGTAAGATTTTTGTTGAAGTATCTTAATGAGTTACATGAATCTATTTAAAGAGGTTTTTTTATATTTGATACTTATAGGGTTCTTTAAAGTTTGGTACAGGCTCGATTGTTCTAATATATTCGCATAAACACAAACAATTGATAAATAATACGATATATGCATTTTTTCAAACGAAAACTGCTGATCTTTCTGGTACATATTCAATAATAGATGAGTTTTACTCAAAGAAAAATCGTATAGCAAAACTTAAATGATTGTATTTTTTTGATGTATTTAATGGAATATTTACTTTATTGTCTACACAAATTAAACTACATTTATTTATTTCTTTATTTTTATGTTTTTAACTATTTATATAAACCATAGTTTCTTCCTAATTGTTAAGAATTAAGATCAACGAATATATGTTTATCGTAGTTTTAAGTTACTTTTAGGTAATATTTTCAAGATGAAATAATATCGATTAATCTAGAAAGCTCACGCTTAAAGTATACTCATCCAATTTCATCCATTAAACTCTTATTTAATCTCAATTTCACCAATTAATCAATTTTAACTCATAACCGAATTTGACCCCGATTTTGACCGATACTGCTGTTAACCGTTGTTCTCCGGCGTTGGATATTTTTTCCTGAATTTTATTTCTGCACCGCAGTTGACCGCCAATCAACTACGTTGACTTTTATTTTTTGAAAACAAAAATTCATGATATTTTTTCCAGACCAGCCGGTCAAAATAGCGTTAGATTTTTTTTCTTCAAAATATTTTTTTTAATGAATATTGTTTTTTTCAATAAACACAATGATATTATTGTGTTAGACATTAATTTCAATTATACCATTGCCTAACACCGTAATATTATTGTCTAACATTAATATTAAAAAAAATTATTGTGTAACACAATAATAATATTATTGTTTATATTACTGTTAATATTATTGTGCTGCAAAGTAATAGTATTGTTTAACAAAATAATACTATTTTGTTTACTGTGAGCTCAGAAAATAGTAAAAAAAATTAATATTATTGTGTTAGACAGTAATATTATTATATTGTACTGTATTATTACCCATTAATAGTATTATGTTGACCAGTCAACGACGAAAAAGAGAAGTTTCTAAAACAAAAAAGTTAACGCCGAAGACCGGCGTTGACCGTCGGGATCGGAAATTTTATGAAAAAAAACAAGAATAAAAAAAAAAGTCAAAATTGAATTTATGGGTAAAAATTGGTGAAATTGGAGTTAAATTTCGGTTCAAGGCTTATGGATAATTTTTTCATAAATATTTAGGTTGGCAGTCATGATCGAGTTTTGGTCGACATAAACTTAAATATCAGCGGTTTTTACAAAAATAAGTTGAAACTCACATACTATCAGATATAGGGTGGTAAACGAGCCGAGTCGGCTCGCGAACTCGACGAGCCGGCTCGCGAGCTGCATTCTTTTTTTTTTTTACACACACACACACACACACACACACACACACACACACATATATATATATATATATATATATATATATATATATATATATATATATATATATATATATATATATATATATATATATATATATATTATTAACTAAATAGTAAATAGTCTATAATAATAAATATTTTTAGTATTTAAATAGAAACAAATCTATATTACTTAAATAATTCATAATAATATAATATATTATAATAATAATAGAAAAATTAAAAAATATATATAACTAGAGTTCATTATTTATTTTATAATTTTTTTTATTTTCTTATAAATAATTTTTAATAAAAAAATAAATGATTTTAATAAAAAAATAAATAAAATAAAAAAAATAAATAAAAAAAATTAAATGAGCTCGAACTCGATCTCGCCAAAATTGGCTCGAGCTCGAGCTCGAGCCAAAAAAAATTGGCTCGATGAGCTCGAGCTCGACAACATGGACTCGAGCTCGACAACATGGACTCGAGCTCGAGCTCGAGCTGGCCAAAAGAGCCGAGCTCGGCTCAAGCTCGGCTCGTTCCCACCCCTAATCAGATATTATAGTTGGAAGGCAAAATTCATCTCATATATTATTTCAAATCAAGCTAAAAAAGGCTTATAAAGCTAATATTAATCATTGTAAATGGACTTAGAAGTTAATTAAATACATATGAATGGACTACTTTTACTTGGCGTACAATAATATATAAATTTCATGCATGTCGTCGTCAATAACATAAAATAGTATATAATATTAAAAATAATTAAGCAATACGAATTATGCATGATTAAACTAAGGAATTTTGATAAAATTAAATAAAATTTAAAATCTTGGTAAGATAGTGTAAAAAGTATTCTTATAATTATTATGAAAAAAATGTATGAATATTTAAAAAAATATGCTTACACGTGTATGAACAAAAGAAATGATTCAAATTAATGAAAATATAAATATTAAAGGAATTTGAATTGTAACTTGTAATACATAGGCAAATATAAGTGTAAGAGAACGGTTGATTTTATAGTTCTAGTCCAATTTGACCCACAACCAGAAATACAAAAAAAAATGTTGTGATTTTGACATATTATATCAACTCACAACATTTTGATTTGACATAGAAATGGTGTGAGTTGATATAAAAATGTTGTGAGTTGTCAAAATCTATTGATCATCTCTTTTTCTTTCTTAAATGCTCTTTCATGGCTAAGCTTTGGTTAATTTCTAAATGAAGTCTCTCTTTGATCTTTTTTTTTTTATAAATGAACTTCTTGTTAATTGGATCATTTTATTACATAAAATAAAGGGTTAAATACAAAAACACCCCTATATATAGTTTGAGTCATTTTCCACTATATATTTTACCACTGTCATTGAATTTTACGTGGAAATTTTTGGTATTTATATTTTTTTCTCCAAAACTTTTAATTGCTTATATTTTTTTAATTTTTTGAATAAAACCTTTTATTTTTTTCATTTTGAGTTTTTTCATTGTTTTTTTCTTAAATGTCTTCCGATAGTTCAAACATCCTAAGATTACAAACATGTTTACAATCTTATTATTGTTGAGAATTTGAACTACCAGAAGACATTTAAGAAAAAAATGAAGAAATTCAAAATGACAAAAATAAAAGGTTTTATTCAAAAATCGAAGTAATTAAATGTTTTGAAGAAAAAAATAAAAAAATCAAAATTTATCAAGTAAAATTGACCGAAAATGTTAAAAAATATAGTGGAAAATGACTTAAATAAACCCCTATATTTATAGGCTTAACAGGGGTATTTTCGTCATATTTTGGAAAAATATAACAGCAGAGGTGTTTTTGTATTTATGGGTAGTACAAGGGGGTATATGATACAAAGTTCATAGTACAGGGGTGTTTTTGTATTTAACCCTAAAATAAATGGTAGTTTTCTTCCTTGCGAGGTATTAAGAGAGAGTTTGTTGTACATGCAGTTGTTTTCTTTGATCTAATCGAAAGCTCATGGCTCTTCTCCTCCATCTTTGCAGGTTACTCTCAAGAAGGCTAGCTCTTTTGCCCTTGCTCATTAGAATTGTGAACTCTTTAAGTATCTCAAGGTTGGATCGGGAGCATCCCAAACTTGGAGGGCCATCTAAAGTTTGGCAAAAAATTAACTTAGATTGTTGCTTCAGAGAAGACCATGCTTCCTCAGTTTTTTTGTGATGAGAAATTCCAATGGGTCAATCATTTACGCCACCTGTGTTAGACCCTTTTGTTTGCTGAAACCTGTTTGGACCCTTTTGTTGCTTAAACCTATGCAATTTTGGAAGGTTGTAGATTCATTATCAATGCCAAGCTTGAGAATGTTATGTTCAAAGCGGATGCCCTCAATGCGATGCTTTTCATAACATGTTACTCCTCCACAATCCACTGGTCTGCAAAAGTTCTTATATTTGAGGATATTCGAAATTTTTGGTTCCTATGGCCTAAATGTAGGTTCAAATTTCCGCCCAAGAAATGCGACTTGAGGCAATGCTAGCCAAGTTGGGAATTCTCGTGCAAATGGATTGGAAATTTTGATGTTAATCTTATTCCTATATATATCTTGTTTTTGCGATGAGAATTTCCAATTGTACACTCTTTAATTCCATTAATTCCAGTTTCTTATACTACATTTACTTATTTATATATAAACGTTTTATATAAATAGGGAATTTTTTTTTTATATTAGAGTTGAATTAATCTTTAGCTCACTATAAAAAAAATACTTAATAAAATTCTCAATAGGGCTTAAAATTCGGTGAAAACTATGGTGCACATTTCTCTCTTACTTTTTCTGTTTACTTATCAACATTAAAAATTATGAAAAACTTCAATTATTTTTTTTTTCTTTTAGATGGTAGCTTCAATTATATTTTGACTGAAATGAAAGCATATGATATTTATGATAGTAATTTGATAGAAAAAAGTAATTATTATGGGTAGTAATTTCATTAGAATTGAATTAGTCCATGGACCATGGCATAAAAACCCTATTAATACTCCAAAAAAACATAACGCTGCTGACTGTGATTGTGACTGTGACATTCCCTTTGGTCCAAACATCTCCCACACACACACACATACCATTTCCCTTTTATTACATATTTTGGTTTTCAAATCACACTCTCTCACACACACTAACACACAGACTCTCTCTCTCACACACACTGTCTCTCTCTCTCTCTCTCTCTCTCTCTACACACACTCTCTCTCTCCTCCATTGCGGATCGAAATTCAAAATCCGTATCCAGTACTTGTTAAGCAAGCAGCATAGATCTTTACCTACAAACACAATTTAAGCTTTACGTTAGGGCTGCTTGCTGCTGTTTCTTACAAGTAAGATTAGAGCTCTTTCAGATGTATGTAGATGTTGACTATGGGCACTACTACATTACAGGTGAGTTGTTTTCCTACTCTTTTTTTTTTTATTTTTTTTAAAAAGAAAAAAAAAAAGAAAAAAAAAAGAAGAAGAAGTGAGGTCTGCCCATTCCAATGTAGCTATATTTTATAGAGATAAATTTGCGTTTAGACGCGCAAAAGTACATAATAGAGCATCGCAAGTAGTGGAATTTGAATGATTGTTTCAACTGGTTTGACCTTTTGGTTTTGCGTGCTTGTTTCTTACAAGAATTGGGTTTCTCTAATTTTAAGGTAATTGTTTGACTTCTCTGTCTGTGTATGTTTGTTCTTCAGTTTGGGGATAAATGGGTTTATCAATTTGATCTCTGTTTGGCTGATCTGCTTACCAGATTTTGATTTATGGCACGGCTACATATATTTGCATAAATGAGTTCAATCTATCAAGATTTTACATTTTTTTATATGCAATCTGTTTTACCGAATTGTGCGCTAGGGTTTCGTTGATTTTGTACTTGGATTAAACTTTTTCAGCTGCCAATCATTCAGTCAATTTTTTAATTTTTTTAATTTTAATTTTTTTCAATTATTAATTTATTGAAGTTCCTCAGAATAAGCTAAGATGAAACATCCTTTTGCATTGTTGCAGATGGGTATTACTTGATTTATCTGGTGTTTGCGTGAATAAATTCTGAAGTTTTGAGAGTAAGAAATTAGAATGGAGGTTGAAAAGCGAGCGGTAAAGGGAGGTTTTTTTCAGCTTTTCGATTGGAATGGTAAATCTCGAAAGAAGCTCTTCTCAGGAAAATCTGAATTACCTGGTAATTATTTCTTTTTCACTGTATACAAAGTTAACATTTCTACTGTTTTTTTTTTTTTTTTTTCAGTCTTGTTGTTTTATCTGTTTTTTCACACCATAGTCTTGTGGTGCAGAGAGTTCAAACCAAGGGAAAGAAAATTATCGTGGTTCAGCCATCGTTCGCCGTCAGCAGGTAGTTTTCCTTGAACTCACTTTATTTGATAGTTGTACCCGAATTGTATTTAATCTTTTGATACTAATTACTATACCTTTTTCTTACATTCTTGTACAAAGGGGCTTGAAAGAGAGTTCCCTCCAGATGGCAGAGGCTACAGCGATTATCACTACGCTTCATCGGCAAGTGGTGACTCAGAATATGGAACAAAAGCGCCAGGTGTCGTGGCGCGTCTTATGGGACTCGATTCATTGCCGGTGCCTAGTAATGCTAACGAACCTTGTTTAACGACCCCATTTATCGAGTCCAACTCATTCAGAGATTCTAGCTATTTAATGGCTGGTCCAGCATTCCAAAATGAACACGATATTGTAATATTTGAGAGCGTTCGGAATAAATTGGATGGATCGAGTAGGAACCCTTTGGAGCTGAGGCTGCAAAAAATGCAGAGCCAACATCTAGAGAGGTTTCAACGAGAGGCACTTCCTCCAAAATCTGCTAAATCGATTTCTGTGACTCACCATAGGCTCTTATCTCCGATTAAGAGTCCGGGATTTGTTCCACCTAAAAACGCGGCTTATATAATCGAAGCAGCATCCAAAATAATGGAGCAGAGTCCACGGTCAACAAGTAAAGCCAACTTCCCGTCACTTGGGTCTCCTTCGGTTCCATTTAGAGTTCGCGATTTGAAGCAGAAGATTGAGTCTGCTCAAAAGGGCAGAGAGCAGAATTCGAAAAATACGAAGAGACAACTTGATAGTAGGGGTAAAGGCCGATTAGCAGACAGTTATCTGTATCAGAGTTCTGAAGAATCAAAAAGTATTGGTTCTTCTCAAAGAATAAAGAATCGTGAGAAGTCGGGTTCTCTTGCAGTTCAGGCAAAGACCAACATTCAGAGAAAAGACGGCTTCGCCTCAGTTGGTAATAGAAGTTCTGAGAAGCAAAGAGAACTTAGTGATGTTAAACATGGATTTGCGAGCAAGGATTTGACGAATACACAAAAGAAAGTTGAAAAGAAAAGTTCATCAAGAAGGGCTTCTTCGGAAGTGCTCAGGCTGAATAATCAGAAGCAGAATTGTGTATCGGAGGGCTATGATGAAAATCCGGGGCCTTCTTGTTCCAAGCTAAAGGAGAGAAAAGAGCCGAATTTATCCAATAATTACGTAAACGGGCGGACAAATAGGACTGTAAATAAGATTGTCATTGGTGACGTCGCAACATCTAGGAGGACAAATTTCGTTGCAGCAGATCCTGGTAAAGAGGTTCCTCTATCGAGACCAAAGACAAATGCAAAGAAAAAACTGTCAATCGACGGAAGTATTACCCATAAGGCAATGATGGTGAAAGACGAGAAATCTGTAAAACGTAATGTTGCATTTGCAGGCGATGCTGAATCTGAATGGGATGGGAATGACAAGAAAAGTAGTTTGGATGTGGTGTCGTTCACATTTACATCTCCGATAAAAAAGTCTGGGGCTAGTTCAAGTTCGTGCAATACAATCTTGGAAGCAAATAGCTCGTCTTTTACCAACAGCGATCCTTGTGTACATGGATCCGAATTGAGAGATTCAGGTTCATACTCATCAAGGTTTAATGTAATCGGTGGGGATACATTGAGTTTGCTTTTGGAACAAAAACTAAAAGAATTGAGTTCCAAGATTGAGTTGTCCCAGAAAGACGTGTCAGAATCTGCTGCTTCTTGTTCTAGTTCTGCCATTTCCAACTCAATATTGAAAACTAAAGAGGAAATCAAGAATGCCTCTATTGACAAAATTTTGCTCAAAGCTGAAAAAGAGAACAAGGTACCTTCTTTACCTTCTGTTGCATTTTTTTTCTTTCTTTCTGTATAACTATGTTTCGTTTTAGCCTTTTCTTGTTACACCATGAAGTATACAATCAAAGATGTGAATGCAAACTTTCGGAAAAGACACCTGTTAGAGAACATATATGAAGGGGTCCTTTCACGTTGGTTTTATTTTTTTGTTTTCCGAATTTTGTAAGACCAGCAAGGCATGTAGAATCATTTTCTCTTGTCTAGCAATAACAAATGTCTGGATGTAAGTAGTACTTAGGCAATTCATGAAGAATAGGAAGATAAACACATCTCCTTTTGTCGGTTGCCTAGCATATCAATCGGTTCATTACTACCAAGTCCCATATATATCAAAAGTCGCAATGAAATACTCAATGTAGTTAAAATCGAGATCTAAATCGTGAAATCGTAAGACTTTAAGATTTTAGACACTGAAAAGGAGTAAGATCGCACTAAAATTGCAGGTGCCTTAAAATCGTGTGAAATCGCGTTCAAAATCGTTCAAATCGTTAAAAACGCTATTTTAGTGCGATTTTGGCGATTTTGGTTTTTGTCAACAATTGGGCTGAAAGTTTGGATTTTGGCCTCATAAATTCAGTTTTGTTAACTAAATTTTTTTAGTCAATTACCAAATAATCCAGAATATATAAAGCTCAGCCCTAAAATAACAATCTATTACGACGAGAAGAAAATACTTCTCTTCTGCTAAAAAAACATCCAGCGGTTGTGAGTGTCAGTTTCAGTTATCTTATGTTAGACTATGTTTAATTAATGTTGGAATGTTTTATATGTTTTAGGACATTTTATGTATATTATGACTTATTTTATTGTGTTACGGGTGTTTTCTAAGTAGTAAGTACTAAATATATTTATTTTACAATACATGTAAAATCTTACGATTTTACGATCCGATTTTACGTTTCCGATTTTACTACCCCTCTCCGATTTCACTTAAAATCTCGATTTTGACTACCTTGGAAATACTATCGGTTTTCAATACATATAAGCTGGTCTAGAGATCTGTTTGATATTGTTGCATGGTATGTGATAGATAAGGCACCATCTCTTTATCATCTAAAATGATGCATATTTCAACAAGTAGGTAAAAGGGTCCTCTAAACATTTAGAAGAGTTCTAAAAAAAATGAGGATCTATAATCTTCGATAATGGGAATTACGAATCCTTAATACAGTTTCCATGGATAGAAAGCAGCATGTGAGAGCAAATATGATTGATCTCTTCTTATCTTGTTATACAGTTATACTCCCTGCACCAGGAGCTTTTTATTTAACTATGTGTTGTGCACTCGATACAATTCTAATTCATAGCTTAACTTAATTTTCAGGAAGTAGAATATATCGAAGAAGGGGATGGTGATGACAACAGCAACATTGAGTATCAGAGATATCTTCATTTGCTTGGATCCCTTTCAGCTTCTAATCAGCCTTTGTCACGGACTAGTTCCGACTCCTTTGATCTTGACAGAAACTCATGCAATGAAGGTACAGTCATCATTCCTCTTTCATTCATTCATTCTTTAGATTTTTCCTTTTTCGGCCTACATGGGTTTTGGATGAGAATTTTTTTATTTTTTATTTTAATTATGGAATTCATACTTATTTATACTCTTGAAATTTCAGGTCGATTGCCATATTTATCAGTTGAATCATATGAAGGGATCAATTGGAGTACTAGGAATGTAGAAGTATCAGATACTGCCTCCGTTGGGACTGTATTATCTGAAACAGTTACATCTGGCAGCTTATTATATTTAATGGATTCGAGAGATTCTTCTTCTAACTGGGAATTACTATATATTAGAGACATACTTAGCAGCGCAGAGTTATTTTCCGAGGAATTTGCTCTTGGACAAGCTCACAAGATCATAGCCCCTGATTTATTTGACGAGTTAGAAAATCAAAGAATGAATTCGTACAAAGTCACGGAAGAAGAGCACCACGTGCTCGAGCGTAAGGTGTTGTTCGACGGTGTGTGTGAATGCCTGGAACAAAGATGTGGGGCCCTCCTTACGGGAAGTTGCAAATCATGGGAGAAGCAGATGAGAGTGTTGGGCACAAGGCAATTCTTGGCGGATGATTTGTATAGAGAAGTGTCGAGCTGGAAGAACGTTGAGGAGTTGATGATGGACGAGCTTGTGGACAAGGATATGAGTTGCAAAAACGGGAAATGGACGGATTTCGAAACGGAGGCTTTTGAAGAAGGTGTGGAGATTGAAGAAAGAATACTAACTTGTCTAGTTGATGAACTCATTGATGATTTCTTCTTGTGATTTTGCTTTGCCCTATATATATATATTTATATATTTATGTTTTAGGAGGTTCGTTTTTAATTATTTCTTAACTGGTGGTGGTTTTGTATGAACAACATGTATTGTAAGCTACAATTGAAGCAACATGAAAAAAGTCGTTGATTAAATATGCCAAAGAATTTGAGGGCTCCAATTTAATGATTTTCATTGCAATTTGATGTTTCGGCTTGATGCTCTTTAGAGTTTTGGCAGTTGTTTTAGATATCTTACTATTGTACACATCGAAACAATATTGTCTCAATTTAGAGAGAGAAGGTGAGAGAGAGGAGAGAGAGAAAGAGGAGAGAATATCTAAAATATTTTCGTCTGCAACAATTAAAAATCGCCTGCATTAAACACCCTCTTTACCCGACTTCACTCCACACATTTTAACCCGTGCATTGAACGACGGATCATTTCAAAAATAAATAAATAATTTAAATATGTGACGTGATAAAGTAGCATATTGAAGAGAATGTTAAGAGTAAATATGTACTAGCTGTTGAAAAAGCATTAAATCTGCAGTGTAAGATAATATTTAACATATACACGGATTAAACATTTACAAAAGAAATATAGAACACTTAGTTACATATCTTTAAAACTTATAAGTAATGATATTTCTCCATAAGCCAATTACATTATGTCTAATTCCAAATATGTGAGGATCTAATTGATTATATGAATACAAGTGGCCCAATATATGCCAATACTATATAACCATATTTTCTAGTAAAATATGTGCTAATCAAAATGTGATCAAGTTTTGTTCATATATTACTTGTTACTCATATTATAACAGAAGCACTCCAACACTTGCCTGTTTTACTGTTTATATAAGGGCACTGTTGTGAGAACACCAAGCCCAACTATTTGGTAAAATTAAAGTAATTTACTGAACCGCAAGCAAATGGAAAAAAATGCTTGATACGGGCCATCCTGACCGAAACAAATAAATATGAACCGAGAAGATCCAATTCGCTATTATGAGAAATGATGTCGAACCACGACCCCCCAATGACGACTTAAAAATACCGTAGCTCGCAGCCCAGTACAAAAACGAGGTAAAACAGGCCCAAAGTAATAAAGGCCCAAAATATGTGGCTTGAGGGGAGGGAAAACCCTAAAAAAGGAAACCTTGGAGGCCAAGGTTTCATCATCTATAAATAGGGGAGGCATTATCTATTTACACACACGTTTTTACATATACTTTCATTACTATAATACTTGAATACAATACTGACTTGATCGTCGGAGCTTTCCCGCCGGGATCTCCCCCCGGCGTTGCAGGTTTCTTTACCGGAGATTGGATCACGCGCCCCGGAGGAGGAAAAGAGCCCCACGGACCAAATCAAGTGGCGCCGTCTGTGGGAAACTTCTAAAATTTTGGGTGCACAACTTCCAGGAAAATATTACATCTGCCCTGGAAGTCCAGATCTGAGCTATAAACGTGGAGAACGATGGAAGAAGGAGACACCATTGCCCGAAACTTACAAAATGAATTAGATGCAGTAGCTCGCGACACGCCCATTGTCGATCCGTCGTCTGTCTTGAAGGACAAGTCAGGATGCAGCCTGGTCACGCCCAAAAAGGAAGGTCGGATTCCCCTCTTCTCGGGTAGTCCCTATTTCGAATTCCAAAGTGGTGAAGCCGCTTCGAAAAAACCGGTTACAACCCTGGCTCAACCTCCTGACGAGCGTATGTACACCAAAGACGAGGTGGAGACCATGATCACCACGGCCATCCGGAACTACACTCAGTCTTTGCCCCAGGGCAACAGGCCTAGGAGAGACCTTAGGCGCCCCCCGAACAAAGAGCGAGCTGAGGATGAATGCGATAGTTACTCGGAGAACGGAGAAGGCAACAGTCATGGCGTCAGGACCGAGGTCGATAGCTTGAGGCGAGATATAAACGAACTAAAGGCTTTGCGGAGCGGTTTAACGCGGACTCCCGAAGGATCTAGCCCTTTGCCAGGCATCTCGATAACGATCCTATACCAGCTAATTATCGACCTATTTTATTCGAATATAATGGCACATCAGATCCCGCCGAGCATCTGAGTCGGTTCAACAACACAACGTCACTCCACCAGCTCACTGAAGGAGTGAAATGCCGCGCTTTCGTCACCACTCTGGCTGGGCCGGCTCAAGCTTGGTTCGGTTTGTTATCGCCCGGAAGCATACAGTCCTTTGGGCAGTTTGCCAAGGCCTTCATGAATCAATTCGCTAGCTCGAAGAAATGTAAAAAGACCTCGCTGTCATTGTTCAGCATTCAACAGAAAGAGAAAGAAAGTTTTCGGAACTACATCAAACGGTTCACCTCAGCTACTTTAGAAGTTCCCACTACTAGCGACGAGGTGCTAATGGCGGCCCTCTCACAGGGGCTAAGGGATGATGAATTCTTTCGAGCTCTAGCACTGGAACCCTCACCCGATTTCGATAATTTGTTGGGAAGAGCATCTAGGTTCATTAATCTGGAAGAAGCCCGACAGCAGAAAATAGAAGAATCTCACCAAACATTGAACATGCGGGCCAGGGAAGCAAGGAAGAGTAAGGAGCCTATGTTACCACGAAGAGATACAATGTCTGGCCGAGGTAACACCGCAGATGCTAAAGGATCCCGATACTAATCATATCAGTCTCTCACGGCACCCTTATCTCATGTCTTGTGCGCAATCGAGAAGAGAACTGACTTGCGCTGGCCCCGATTCGCCCGAGAAGAGCCCCGCCGAAATCCGGCGCTGGGCACCTTTTGCCGTTTTCATAACGAGTATGGACATATGACAGATGATTGTTCGCATTTGAAAGATGAGGTAGAGCGTCTTATCAGAGACAATAAAATCGGAGACTTTGTAAAGATAGACCCCCCCCCCGAGGACAAAAGCGCGAGGCTCAGTTCGGAAATCCTGCGCGGGTCCCGCCCCCGCCACCGATACCAAAACGAGGGTACATCCAGATGATCTCAGGAGGACCTACAGGAGGAGATACCCACCGAGCTAGACGACGCCACCTCGGCAGCCTCAAGAACAATCATGAAGTTTGCCAGATCTCTGCATCAAAATGCCGTCAATATCCCACCATCTCGTTCGGACCTGAAGACGAAGCAGACCTCGATGATTTTCATTGTGATCCTCTCCTCATCACAATCAACGTCGCGTAGCCCGTGCCTTTGTCGATTCAGGAAGTTCTGTTGATGTCATATCTTATGAGTGTTTCCTGCAAATGGAACTTGATCTCCCAATCTTCCCTGTCACCACCCCGATATTCGGGTTCACGGGAGGGTCCTTGACGCCGATCGGACAAGTTAAGATCCCCGTCACCTTAGGAACACCACCTCGAACACGTACACAAACTGTTAATTTCGTAATTGTTGAAGGGTCCTCTACCTCGTACAACATCGTGATAGGACGGCCAATGATGCACATCTTCCGGGCGATCCCCTCGACTATACACCAAAAACTTAAATTCCCGGTTGACGGGGTAATAGGAGAGGTCAGGGGTGATCAGGCTCAGTCAAGATCCTGTTACGTCGAGATGGTCAAAATAGCAGAGAAAGGACGACGTGATACTTTCACTAAAGAAGACCTAGGGGATGAGAAGCGCCCCCGAATTGACCCAGAGGATAAAGTTGCTCATGTACAACCCATGGATGAGTTAATGACAATTGACCTTGTACCCGGCATGATGAAGCAAACCCGGATAAGCAAAGACCTAGAACCGTCTTTTCGAGATAAACTGATAACGCTATTGCGATCCAATGTAGACATCTTCGCATGGCAACCGAGCGATCTGACCGGTATCGCACCTCGCACTGTCGTACACAGGCTTAACCTACGACCCGAGTGCAAACCCATCAAACAAAAGCGGCGACACTTCGGCACCGAGAAAGATGAGATTATTAAACAAGAGGTCCAACGACTATTGGATATTGGACACATTAGGGAAATCCAATTCCCCACATGGTTATCCAACGCAGTACTGGTCCAGAAGACCAATGGACAGTGGCGGATGTGCATCGATTTTCGGGACCTAAACAAGGCCTGCCCAAAGGACGATTATCCCTTACCCCGTATAGACCAGCTCGTAGACGCTACCGCCGGATGCGAGCTACTCAATATGATGGACGCTTCGCAAGGGTACCACCAGATCCCGTTGGAGGAGAGGGACCAACCTGCAGTTAGCTTTATTACAGCCACTGGTACCTATTGTTATGTGGTAATGCCTTTTGGTTTGAAAAATGCGGGAGCTACGTATCAGAGGTTGATGGATAAGATGTTCCGGGCTCAGCTCGGACGTAACATCGAGGTCTACGTCGACGATATGCTGATCAAAAGTAAGAAGCGTTCCACACACCTTGCCGATTTAGCTGAGACATTTGCCACTCTTCGCCTCTACGGGATGAAACTGAATCCTGCAAAGTGTGCGTTCGGGGTGAAGGCCGGAAAATTTCTCGGATACGTAATCACTCAAGAAGGTATCGAGGTAAACCAGGATAAAGTCGAGGCGGTACTTCAAATGACGCCTCCTCGGTCCATCAAAGAAGTCCAATCCTTAGCAGGAAAAGTAGTGGCTCTAGCTCGCTTCATATCACGGATGGTCGATAAAGTCTGCCTTTCTTCAAGATTCTGAGGAAAACAGCTCAGTTCGAATGGACCGAGGAATGCCAACTCGCATTTGAGGCATTAAAGGTTTCGCTCACTCGCTTGCCCATCCTTAGCACCCCTGAGAGGGGTGAAACCCTATTCGTATATTTATCGGTGGGCGATGAGTCGATTAGCTCAGTCTTGCTCAAAGAAGTAAATGGCCAGCAACGACTGATCTATTACATCAGCAAAATCCTCACTAACTCGGAAACTAAGTACTCCGAAGTCGAAAAAATTGCATATGCGTTAGTCCTCACTACGCGGCGGCTCCGACCTTACTTCTTACCGCATACTATGGTAATCCGTACAAGCTTACCACTCCGTCAAACTTTAGGCCAACCCACAGCATCAGGACGAATTGTTAAGTGGGCCGTCGAGTTAGGACAATACGAAATCCAATACCAGCCTCGTACCTCGGTCAAGGGACAAGCGTTGGCGGACTTCATCCGAGAAACCACTAGAATACCTATGGAAAAAGAGTGGAAAGTCTACGTGGACGGGTCATCTACAGCGACGGGAGCAGGGGCAGGGATCATAATCATCGATCCTACGGGG